ATCGGGGGCGTGCTTGAGCTCGTCATTCCCTCACGGCATCAAGTCACGCATAACGCTCAAACACCCAAAACGAATCTCAATGAATGTCCATTAATCTACCACACTCCCCAGGAAAACATAAAGAAACTTCTTGTTTCTCCGTAGTTCGTCACTGCAAATCCCGCATATGTATACGCAATATACCACCCCCATGCTATGCCACGAGTATATCGAATAGCCCCCCTGCTCGTATGCATCGTCATGCTCCGGGAAAATATCAAAGTCCTCCTTCTCATACCAGTTCATCCCAAAACACAATCAAAAACAAGACAAAATTCAAAATCCCAACACCAAAACAATACGTCCGAAAATAATCAATCGCGTACCAACTCTTCCAAATCACCAAGAAATGCCCCAAACACTAACTCTCCAAAACACTACCATCTCCACTTGACTCTCTCCATCTCTTGTTCAAACCCGTACATATCCTCTCGCTTCCACTCCGCGGCAAAACACGATTTGATCCCAAAACACTTCTTTCACGGCAAAATCATCACAAAGTCTCTGTGCAACGCAAAAGATTCCTTGCTGATAGCCTTTGTCAAGAAATCTGCATGCTGAAACTCCGACGTCACATGCGTAATCGAAATCTCCTTCCTCTCTACCAGTTCCCTGATAAAGTGATGCCGTACATCGATGTGCTTCGAGTTTGAGTTCGTGATCGGGTTGTGCGCAATCTGAATCGCTCCCTGATTATCCTCGAAGACCGGAATGCACGGCATACCTGCATCTGGCAACATAAAACGCCAAACCTGCCTCAAGAAAAGCACTTCCTTCAAGACGTCGGCAATTGCCACATACTCTGCTTCCGTTGTGGAGAGCGTGACGCACTTCTGCGTCCTCGAAAACCAAGTCACACACCCACCCCCACACAGCAGTAGTCCTCCTGAGAACGACCTACGGTCTGCTGCCTTGGTTGCATATTCGGCATCCACAAACACCTGCATGCTCATGCCAGTGACCACTCCCCTCTCAAATGTAATCCCCATCCAACTCGTCCTACGCACGTACCCTAAAATACCAAGTGCTGCCTTCCAGTGCACCATCTTGGGAGACGCGCAATACCGCGCTACTGCTCGTACTGCATTCGCGATGTCCGGCCTGGTTTGAGTGGCCAACCACATCAGAGATCCTACCAACTCGCGAAACGGGACATCAGCACACGCTTCGTTTTCGTCAAAGTCGGTGAGCTTCACGCTCACAGGCAAGGGCACACTCTTCCCCCACTCAACGCCGTACTCTGCAGCCAACTCTTCTGCAAACCCTTGCTGCGAGATCCTCAAAAGGCCTCTCTCTAGATCGCTCTGGTACAAGCACGCGGAGTACCACCTCAACTCCCCAAGGTTTTTCACGGGGACCATCTCGTTGAGGTCACTGCCAAACTTGTCACACCTCTCCTTCTGCCCTACGGCAAAAATGTCATC